ATCTGCTTTCCCACAGAAAATTCAACACTACTTTATTAAAACCAGTATAGTATCACAACTGTAAGAATGGTACCACGCTACATCACCACACAGCCAGCATCATCTCTGACCTGCGATACCTCCAAGCACATCTAATGCATCGGTGACCATCGCTCAGCTAACCTCAACCTATGATAAAGTAATTGTCTCCTCTACACCTCCCTCCATGATCATCCAGAGGGCCGAAATAGCTCAGTTCATCATCCAAAATAGCTCAGTTTTGTACAAACGGCGATCAGAAACTTCCTCTGGATTCTCAGAAGCACCGAGTACAAACAGAACAAATCCCTGGCAAGACTGTATGGATGCTGTAGGGTGGCAAAGACCTCTTGTTAGCCAAGATTCAACAATCTTAACCAATGACAATTGATCAAATCTATCTCAAGACCCCAGTTAAAAATGTTCTGTCCTCCTATACTTTGTCACCAGTTAGCTATGAACGTGGTGACAGTGGTAGTGAAGTGCTTGAAACAGGCAACACCAAGGGATTCACCTCTCAAAGGCTAAAATCAAAGGGGGGGGGGGGGCCTGCACAAGCACCTGAAAGACTGAGGTGCTTAAGCTCTAGTAAAGACATCCCATGGTTTCAACATGCACTGAACATACTACTAAACCAAACACTCAAACCATTTGAAATTGTCTAACCAAATATCTCTTCTGTTCTCCACACTTTAATGTTTTATTTTCCATTCCGAGTTGCTATAGGCTCCTTTGCATTTTTGTTATTATACATATTTCAAAATTATTTCACAAGTCAATATAAGAATCTAACAGATTTTCACCCCAACCACCTCAAAAGGGTTGCACACATTAACAAGCATTACTGCAAGTAATGATGATCTTTGTTAAGAGCAGAATCACAGAATGTTAGGGCAGACAGATTCCTCCTCTGCCTCCCCAATACAGCCCTGGGGGTGGTGCTGGTTTGGGGTTTTTTTTATTTATTTTGGGGGGGGGGGTTATTTAAAATAACATACATGATAACTGGTAGCAACTGGAAATCTACTGTGGAAAGAGTCAGAGTTTCTCGGGGGGCGACGGAGGGTTAAGCTCGCAGTCCCAATGAACAACTTTAGGCCTCACCGTTTCTACTTGGAGCTTCTCTTCTGCAGAGCGAAACGAGCCTACCTGTTGTTAAACTTTGCAATAAGCAAAAGTTCACTTTGCTGAAGCCTGTCAAAGTTCCCACAAATGAACTCTACGCTTACAAACACAATTCTACTTGGGTATCATCTTCGCAACAATAACGGGCTAGAAATTTTTTTAAAAGCAAACTGAATTCAACACAGGCTAGCAAGAATCTCCTGAAAAACCACCCTGTTTGCTGAAATATTTCAAGCACTGATTACAAAGTTTGACACTAAGAATCATTTTCTTCAGGTGAAAAAGGATCAGATACTGCACAGACACATCAACCTCCTTTTGAGACCTGCTGCATCTCCGAGATGAACCGAGTGTATGTGAGTACGCTGGCTGTGACCGATGGCACACGCTCCCCGTATCACACAAGTTTGAAACATGCACTTCAGCAAAGTTTCACTTTGAAATATAAGAAAAATGAAGAGGACCAGATTCCCTGCCTCGCTGTTTTAGAACGCGTTTACAGATTACAATGGCACACGCTATACTTGCTTCACCACAGCAAGAGCTGTGTGGCAGGGGAATCACACCTCTAGCTGGTTCACAAGCAGTAAGTAATTAAGCGACTGCATGAGCCAAAAGATTCTGTCATGTGAGCTACAGATGAAAATAACTGAAGTACAATTGCTTCTAACGTGCTCTTACATTGATAGCATTGCTCATCACAACACTTCAGTGTACAAAGTCAAACTAAATTTTAAAGGGTGCTCTAAAGTAAAATTTTCCCATGATGAAGGATGCTCCTTTCTCATTTCCGTCTGCTAGAGATTTTCTCTACCAAAAGCGAGCCAGGTCTACTGAGCCCATACGTTAACCTTGCAGCTCTGATTTCTACATCAAGGCTCAGTGTGGACCATTACTACCTCAAAAAGCAACTTGTAGGGAAGCATCCAGCGAGTTTTTCACTTTGGTGAAGGTCTGCGAGGATCCCAGCAGCAATGACTGCATATTATGGATCAGCAGAACAGAAAGCATATAAGAACTGTGAAAAAGAAACAGGGAATTCTGAGACACAAACATTAGGAGTTTGGGAAGCCCAAATTCAATTTCTAGTTCTGACTTTGATGTGAGCTTGGTTATGTCAAGGGCGGCTAGATACAGAAAAAAGCATTTGCGACTATGAACTAATTTTAGTTTCCTGATCCCTCCGTGGAACTAGCATCGCTGACAGGTATTAAGGACTCATCAGGCTTCACAACCACCAGCGCGACGTGAGAGGAGCTGCCTGATCAGCAAATAGGAAATGCCAGTGACAAAGGTGTGTCTGAAATCCTGTCCTGGAATTACACATTTATGTCCTTTATTCCTTTAAAACAACAACAGGCATTCTTTTCCATTAAAGCATAACAAAAGGAGAAGGTGGTAACGTTAATCCCCTTTTTAACACAGTGTTACAACCACGGGAACGCTCACTCTTCATCCCGGAGATCCAGCCTCAAGCGCCCACGAGCCTGAAATCCACCTTGCACCACCAGCCAGGCTGATGATGAAGCTATTCCCACTAGATGACACAGAGAGACAGCACGTGGGGAAGGAAACAACTACAACCCACAACCCAGCGGGTACACAGGCCAGCGGGAGCCTGGCCTGAAAGCTGACAATTGTCAAATACAGCAAACAGCTCTTGGTTTTGAACCCAATTCTAATAAGCGGGCTGTAAAGTCGTGTTCCCTCCTTCGCTCCCTCTCCAGGCCATGAATATTTAATTCTTTTATGCAAACTGGAAGAGTTGCAATGCAAGGTTAAATTAGCTTAAATAACCTTGAAACTCTTTTGTGAAGTTGGGCCTCTGAGTCGACTCCCAATCTGCAGAGAAATAAGTTTCTTACACAAGTTCTGTTGTTCGTCGTATTTAAAATATCGTGTGGTACCATGACAAAAATCTTGAGGTTAGAGTCGGTTTGACCGAATCTTTACCATTGGTTCACCTTTCCGTGTTAAGATCCATGGTTTAGACAGTCCAGTTATTAAATAAACATTTGTTCCTCAATTTTGAATGCAAAACTCTTCCTGGAAAAAGGAATTAGTTACAGCATTCTCGAAACTTTATTTGACAACACAATCCATACATCTGCTGGCATTTTTTGCAGCCCCCCTAGTTCTCTAAGTACTAACTTAACTAATACTACTTTTGCTTTTGCCTTATTCTGCAGTAGGCCAAGCTCCCTACCGATTAGCTATACGTATACAAGTCAGTGTCTCATTCGTATGTCATAAAGCAACCAAAATAGATAAGACTTCTGGAAGCCTGACAGAGCTACTACATTTCACTTTTAATTCTCAAAGTGTTTTATGAACTTCCTTCAACCCATAACCCTACAAATCATTCACACGATTGGAATCAGTGCGGTCAGCCTATGCAGAAAACAGATTCATGATCTCTCTCCGGGGGATTGGGGGGGCTGAAGAAAAAAAGATTATTCTTCACTCTGCCAGCTAATCTTTAAAATCTGGGAACCTTAGATGCTTGCATTTTAAGAGGTAGAAACAAGAATGTTTGAAAATCCTTATTAGTAAAATCTTTACCAGGGTAGTGTGTATGCTTATTGTTATAAATGCTGTTTTAGCACTTCAATGATTTGCCTATTCGGAAAAATAAATTAAATATCCAACACAGCTGCTAGATTGGAACTCGGCAAGGAAGTAATAAAGCGATTTTCTGAATGCCTAAGAACTTACACATACACTTAGAAGATGGCAAAATGGCACAAGTGACTCCGCATGCCGCAGCACAGCTGTCCATTACAATCTCTCTTACAGGTCAGTGACCACTGACTCTGGTCCTAGAACATTATTTTTTCCAAATTTTAGCAACACCAGGAATTCTACAATAAATATTTTGATTCAGCCGCAGTATGGATTACTGCCTCCCAATCTCACGAGCCCATGCCACTCTGCTTTAGTTTTCATTTGCTGTTTGTAGCTCACAAGTAGGCAAGTGCTGAATCAGATCATCTCCTCAGGTCCCTGGCAAATCCTACCTCTGTGATCGCAAACGAGGTTTACAAACTCCATCTTCCCCTTCTAACAGTGTCACACAAGTGACTCGGGTCTAGCTGATCTAGTATTTAAAACAACGAGGCCTATTCTACGGCACACTTTGCTCAGAGAGACTGACGGAACCAAGTTAGCGCCGACAACACTAAGAAAGTTTTAGAACACTTCTCTGCTATAAAACAATTGTTAAAGTGGAAAAACAATTTTTTGTTTTTCAACTAAAAAACAAGGAAACAAACAAAAAAAATTGAACATCAAAAATCAGACTCCACATTCTGTTACAAAGTTACCAGTAATCCATAGCTTTCATTCATTATTTGCTTACAACTTCAAGTATCATTGTTACTCCTGAAATGAACTGGGCTGTTAATGGGCTTTTGCTAATCACAGGTGAAAGGTCACTCTCGTTTAGCAGGACACCAAGAAATAAACACAACACACTGACATGACGGAGAATGGGATCAGTGTTCAATTACTGACATGGATTATATTAAGAATCAAAATCTTTCAGCTCATGAGAAGACATTGTCAGTGCTGCTCACACAGCCTCCTTCGGACTAATTATGGTCTCAAAAAAAAAAATCCAGCTAGAAACACCATAAAGACAGTAAGTAACCTATGCCCTACCTTGCAGTTTGGAGATTATATATTAATTCAATAATAATGCTCACAACACCACACACTGACAGGCCGCAAGTCCCATCTCCAAAGCAACAGGACTGGAGATAAGTTTCGTTTCTCTTTCCCATGCACGTCCTCTCGTAACCAGTTACGAGCCGGAGAACTTCTCCTTACGCTTTTCTTCAAGAACGAACGGCACTCACCTTCTCGGCAAAGTCGCATGGCTTCCCGGTTTCTTCCGTATTCCTTGAAACTTTCTTCTAACGCTGTTCCTGGAACCAAGAAGCCACAAGCCCTCAGTCCGTGCGGG